ATCATCATCATTCGAACTCTCATCACCATCCTCATCATCAGCAGCATCATCAGCATCAGCATCCTTATCATCATCATCCTCACCCACATCCTCATCCTCACCCTCATCCTCATCATCATCAGCATCCTCATCCTCATGCTTATCATCATCCTCATCCTCATCCTCAACATCATCATCCTCATCATCATCATCATCAGCAGCAGCATCATCAACATTCTCATCTTCAGCACCATCATCATCATCGTCATCAGCAGCAGCAGCAGAATCATCATCATCCTCATCCTGATTCTCGTCCTCATCCTCATTATCAGCAGCAGCATCATCATCTTCATCGTCATCATCATCAGCACCACCATCATCATCATGATGCTCATCCTCGTCCTCAGTCTCATCCTCATCCTCATCATCCTCATCCTCATCATCATCACCACCATCATTATCATCACCACCACCACCACCACCATCATCATCATCATCATCATCATCACCACCCTGCTTTGAGCAGAGTCACCACGCCTCGTGCTGCTGGGGTTTTCCTCGACACAGCAGCAGTCACTTAAGAGCTCCAGGCACCGCCTATAGCCAGCGCAAGTCAAGTCATCACCCTGCTCCTTCTCATCACCGTCATCCTCCTGCTACTGTTTCCTCCTAATTCCTGTCCTCCTGTGGAGAGGGGTCGCCCCCTTCGAGGGCAGCTGCTGGTCGCGCAACCGCTGGCCTGGGCGACATGGACATGGGCCCCGCACCGCAGAGCGGCAAGAAGCCCTCCTAGCGAGGAGGAGGAGGAAGAGGAGGAGGAAGACGACCACGACAACGCCTGGCCAAATGGCGCGGCCGCCCCCGCCCCCACCCCGAGGCTCCCCCCATCGCCCCTTTCCCCCTTCCTGCGGAGCAGGGCTGCCCCGCCCGCCCTATCGCGCGCGAGAAAGCCCGCGCGCCCCCGTGCTCTGGAGCGGGGCAGGCCGGAACTCGCAACTCGCCCTTCGGTGGTTCAAAGATGGGGTTCAGAGAGATAGGGTCCTAAGGGCGAGGTGCCTCAAACAATGGGAATCCACCCTTGGATCCCTTCCTATCCTGAGGACCCCACCCCTCAGGACCCCACCTTTGAACCGCCGATTCTTTTCCCCCACCCCACCCCGCGGATCCCGGCAGGGATGGCGCAGGAGGCCGTCACTTTGGCCTCTCTGGCGAGGAGGGCGACAAGACGACGCCGACGCTTCGCCGAGTTACCCTGTCCAACCCTGACAAGCCCTCCCTGACGGCGGGGCTGGCTGGCACTCCCCATCTCTTCGTTCCAGAAGGCTGTCAGCTTCCCAGCTGATGGGAGGGCGAGGAGGCCTCAATACTGAACCTGGCCAAGGAGGAGGAGGAGGAGGAGGGGACGAGAAGAAGGAGAAGAGAGGAGCCCCCCCAACGGAGGGACGAGCCTGGCCGTCATGACCACGCCGAAGAGCGCCGCGAAGACGGCCCACTCGTCTCCGCGTGGCGGGGCCGCGGCGGGGCCGTGGTGCTGGGGCGTTCCCTCCCTCCCTACCCGCGTCTCGCCCCCCTCGGCAGGTCGCTCGTGTGCCTTGGCTCTGGCCGAGCTTCCGGTACACACCCTCGTCGTGAAGCTTCAGAAGCAGTTTCCTGCGGTTCCTTTTCAGAACACTGTGGATGATGTCTTGCTGCAAGCCGTGGGGGCCCAGGCCCAGGTGGTCAATCCGTTTCCTGACGCCACGATGGACCTGGTCAGAGGCCTTGAGGCGAAGCAGCTGCGCGTCAACTGGGAGAGAACTGGTTTCCTGTCCAGCTCTCGCGAACTCACATATGCCCTGTCTGCCAGATGGAGTCTCAAGGAGAAGGACTGTCTGGTGGGCGTCAGGTGCTTGGGCACTGACGCTAACGACGGGACCGCACGCAGAATAGGTGAACAGGACAAGCGGTTTCAGAAAGCCAAGCGTGTCTCTGCCAAAGTAATTCAGCTACGAGAGGCTGGCGCTCAAGTCAGCACAGTGATGAGGTGGTCTCCTACGGCGACGGCAGTGTGGGGGTCGGCGGCGACAGGGATCTCGGACATTGAGATGCATGCACTCTGTCTCACGGCCCTTCGAGCAGAAGATCGTCGTCCTGCGTGTGCCTCTGTGGGCCTGCGTCTCCGTGCGTCGCCGCGCGGAGCCTTTCGAGACCCGCTGACTGTTCACACGGTCGAGGCCATGAAACGCTGGGCCCTGGCGCCCATCTCGGCCCTCCCTGGGCACGGGCCTCTGGAGGCTTGCCGGACCGAGGGTCGGTCCCTCCCAGCTCGGCCCCGCCCCTGAACTCCATGTGTGGGCCTGGCCCAGGCTGCGCTTCCACCTTCAGCTCGGGTGGGCACTGCTGTGCCCACGGCTTCCAGCTTGTTGGCCAGGGATGTCGAGCATGATGTACTCGAGTTCTCGCCCGCTGTTTGCTGCGAACGTGTCAGGCAGGCTGTGGACGCCTCGGATGTTCTGCCTCTCGGGCGCCTCGAAGGCGCCTGGCCTGCGCCTCTGCACTGGGCGCCCGTGCGTCGCTTGCTTTAGAAAAAAAGAGTCCGAGACTTGGACGGCCCACCACAAGAATACGATCCGTTCTCTGATCGGTGGCTCCCACTGCACACAGGCCCGGCTCTTCGCCAGAGACGAGAGCCAGCATGGCAAGTGCCTCCTGTGTGGTCTTAGGGAAGCACTGTTCTATCGTTTCTATGGATGATGCCCATACCTTCAGCACATTCGTCGCCAAGAGTGCCCACAGTCGATCCAGCAGGCGGCCAAGAGAGTCAGGGACAAAAGCGAGGTTTACGGCTAGCTCTTTTGTCGCTGTCTCTTCCCCTCCCCCTCCCGCTGTCTCCCCAGGAGTGAGGCGAAGCCTGAGCATCTTAGACGGTGGGTTGGGGTCCCAGTGGGCTGGAGGTTTTCAGGGGCTGTCTTCGTCGATGGCAGTGGTCAGGGCTTTCTAAATGTGGATGGGCGATTGTGCAGGTCTATAGTGCTGGCAACCTTGTTTGGGCTGTCTACATCCCCGTTGCGAAAGTTAATTCATCTTGGCTAAAATTGACATGTGTGGGCGCTGTGGTGAGAAGTGGTATGGGAGTGATTATTCCTTGTGGTTTCATACGGGGAGAGATTCAGAGTTGCCTGGAAGTGACGTGGAGTGATTTCCCCCTTGTGAATTTACGGGGGAGAGATGTTATCCTGAATTGGTTATATACTATTAATGCTACCAGGGAGAACCCCGGAAATCTCCCCCGCCAAGCCAGGCCGAAGACTGCCGCGCTAGGAGTCTACGGGGGGGAGGGTGGCCACTCGGAGACGCCCTAGCCGTCACTGCTCAAGATGAATAACTTTCGTAACGGGTAAGCGGTATCTTACACTGCCCTTCTACAAGGGTGAGACCAGCGCTACCCCTTCACAGCAGCGCCTTTGGCCGCCACAACGCGCTTGCAGTGGCCCGCAGACCCTTGGCAATGCTGCCTGCCACGGTCTGCGAGACCGCAAGCGCGCAACGAGCAAAGACGCAATCATGCAGGAGTTGGCGCGCCGAGTGCACGCAGTACCGCTGGAAGCCCGATGGCGACGCCGCAAAGAACGCTGCCCCGACGCGAGCGCGAAATCCGTATCCGCCTCAGGCGCGAACGCAAACGACAGACGGTCGGCCCCGCCCAAGGCGGGGCTCGAAATCGGGACAACTCTGATGCGCAGTTAGTCGTCGCAGCGAAGCAGCGGCGGCAATGATGATGGCGACGTGTCTATCGAGCGCGATGCTGGGCCGCTCGGATTTCGAAGTGGGGTTCCTCATGGCATTGGCTGACATTGACGTGTGAAAGAGCCGTGGGTCCTCATCCCCGTTACGAAAGTTAATTCATCTTGGCTAAAATTGACATGTGTGGGCGCTGTGGTGAGAAGTGGTATGGGAGTGATTATTCCTTGTGGTTTCATACGGGGAGAGATTCAGAGTTGCCTGGAAGTGACGGGAGTGATTCCCCCTTGTGAATTTACGGGGGAGAGATTTTATCCTGAATTGGTTATATACTATTAATGTTACCAGGGAGAACCCCGGAAATCTCTCCCGCCAAGCCAGGCCGAAGACTGCCGTGCTAGGAGTCTACGGGGGGAAACTCGGAGACGCCCTAGGTCAGTGCTCAAGATGAATAACTCGTAACGGGTTCACTTCTACAAGGGTGAGACCAGCGCTACAGCAACGCCTTTGGCCGCCACAACGCGCTTGCAGTGCCCCGCAGAGGCAATGACGGTCTGCGAGTAACTTTCGTTTCCCCCTATCTTACGGGGGAGAGATGACAAGCGCGATGATTTCGAAGTTATATACCCCGTGACCAAAGCATCTTGGCTAAAATTGACACCTGTGGTGAGAAGTGGTATGGGAGTGATTCCCTTGTGGTTTCATACGGGGATTCAGAGTTGCCTGGAAGTGACGTGGAGTGATTTCCCCCTTGTGAATTTACGGGGGAGAGATGTTATCCTGAATTGGTTATATACTATTAATGCTACCAGGGAGAACCCCGGAAATCTCCCCGCCAAGCCAGGCCGAAGACTGCCGCGCTAGGAGTCTACGGGGGGGAGGGTGGCCACTCGGAGACGCCCTAGCCGTCAGTGCTCAAGATGAATAACTTTCGTAACGGGTAAGCGGTATCTTACACTGCCCTTCTACAAGGGTGAGACCAGCGCTACCCCTTCACAGCAGCGCCTTTGGCCGCCACAACGCGCTTGCAGTGGCCCGCAGACCCTTGGCAATGCTGCCTGCCACGGTCTGCGAGACCGCAAGCGCGCAACGAGCAAAGACGCAATCATGCAGGAGTTGGCGCGCCGAGTGCACGCAGTACCGCTGGAAGCCCGATGGCGACGCCGCAAAGAACGCTGCCCCGACGCGAGCGCGAAATCCGCATCCGCCTCAGGCGCGAACGCAAACGACAGACGGTCGGCCCCGCCCAAGGCGGGGCTCGAAATCGGGACAACTCTGATGCGCAGTTAGTCGTCGCAGCGAAGCAGCGGCGGCAATGATGATGGCGACGTGTCTATCGAGCGCGATGCTGGGCCCCGTTCGGATTTCGAATTTGGGTTCCTCATGACATTGGCTGACATTGACGTGTGAAAAAGTCGTGGGTCCTCATCCCCGTTACGAAAGTTAATTCATCTTGGCTAAAATTGACATGTGTGGGCGCTGTGGTGAGAAGTGGTATGGGAGTGATTATTCCTTGTGGTTTCATACGGGGAGAGATTCAGAGTTGCCTGGAAGTGACGTGGAGTGATTTCCCCCTTGTGAATTTACGGGGGAGGGATGTTATCCTGAATTGGTTATATATTATTAATGCTACCAGGGAGAACCCCGGAAATCTCCCCCGCCAAGCCAGGCCGAAGACTGCCGCGCTAGGAGTCTACGGGGGGGGGGGGGGCCACTCGGAGACGCCCTAGCCGTCAGTGCTCAAGATGAATAACTTTCGTAACGGGTAAGCGGTATCTTACACTGCCCTTCTACAAGGGTGAGACCAGCGCCACCCCTTCACAGCAGCGCCTTTGGCCGCCACAACGCGCTTGCAGTGGCCCGCAGACCCTTGGCAATGCTGCCTGCCACGGTCTGCGAGACCGCAAGCGCGCAACGAGCAAAGACGCAACCATGCAGGAGTTGGCGCGCCGAGTGCACGCAGTACCGCTGGAAGCCCGATGGCGACGCCGCAAAGAACGCTGCCCCGACGCGAGCGCGAAATCCGTATCCGCCTCAGGCGCGAACGCAAACGACAGACGGTCGGCCCCGCCCAAGGCGGGGCTCGAAATCGGGACAACTCTGATGCGCAGTTAGTCGTCGCAGCGAAGCAGCGGCGGCAATGATGATGGCGACGTGTCTATCGAGCGCGATGCTGGGCCGCTCGGATTTCGAAGTGGGGTTCCTCATGGCATTGGCTGACATTGACGTGTGAAAGAGCCGTGGGTCCTCATCCCCGTTACGAAAGTTAATTCATCTTGGCTAAAATTGACATGTGTGGGCGCTGTGGTGAGAAGTGGTATGGGAGTGATTGTTCCTTGTGGTTTCATACGGGGAGAGATTCAGAGTTGCCTGGAAGTGACGTGGAGTGATTTCCCCCTTGTGAATTTACGGGGGAGAGATGTTATCCTGAATTGGTTATATACTATTAATGCTACCAGGGAGAACCCCGGAAATCTCTCCCGCCAAGCCAGGCCGAAGACTGCCGCGCTAGGAGTCTACGGGGGGGAGGGTGGCCACTCGGAGACGCCCTAGCCGTCAGCGCTCAAGATGAATAACTTTCGTAACGGGTAGTATGGGATCCTTCCCCCCCACCTCGCCCCAGAGCAGCTTGCCAGATATGCGGAAGGCTTTGCTTTCTCAGTTCTCTCGGAGACTGTCAAGATTGACCCAGACAATCCTATGGTGGTCTACAGTGATTGTAAGGGGTCCATCAGCTGTGCTACAGGTGCTGGTGCTGCCCTTGCTATATCCAACCC